CATGGGCTACCGTATGTAGCCAGCAGCCAGCGTGAGCGGCCAGCAGCCGCAGTGAGCAGCCGTCCAGAAGCCAGTGACTGATCTGCCTCGCCTGGGAAGAGCGCAATGATGGTGCCAACTTGGGCCAGTGAAGCAACACCCTCCGCAACTGGACTGAAGTACAAGACGACAGCAACTTGTCTGTTCCCCTTCCCCCAATTCCCCAGTGCTGTTCCCATCTCCCCAATTCCCCAATAAAAATCTTAAAAAAAAAGTCCATTTGGTGTCCTTTACTTCAGTTTTGCAAAACTCCCCTGCCCCCACCCCCGCCCAGGAGTGGTTGAAAGAAAATGAAAAAGCTCTAACCTGTTAGTTCAAAGCCAGATGAAAGAGCCCGGGTCCTCCTGGTCTCTTACTGCCCAGAGGCAGGACTGGCGAGGTATTTATCTGCTGTTCTTTTGGCTCAGCCTCTTTACCTTGGACTCTCCTACATATTCATTGCTCATTCTCCTTTAGTTCCCTCCCCCCACAAAGTGGGGGGAACTTCAGCTTCTATATCTCATTTCTCCAGAGCACAGGAATGAGAAAACAAGCATCAAGGCCACCGCATGATAAAGCCCTCGGGTCTGTCCTCAAAGGGACACCCAGCAGTTGACTGCCAGCTGTTTGGGATCCATAATCCATGACTTTAGAAGTCTCCCAGCACAATGGGAATGTTTGCCTTGTGAAGTAAATACACCTGGGGGAGGGGAGTGCGGGGAGGGGGGACTCCTACTGGCTCCTCTCTGAGCGTGTGGTGGAAAATGGTGCTGCCTTGCAAAGCTGAGAAATGTGCAACGGTGGCAGCTCCAGTCACTAAATTTTATGGGAGATGACTTTCTTTCCCACCCAATATGTTCAGAAAATCAATTTTGCCGCTTCCCCGCCCCAAAGCTCTGGGTTCCCAGAGGAAGAGCGGTGTTGATGGGCAGCCCCCTAGTGAAAACGAGCTAGTTCTCTGTGGCCTGTATCATGAATCAAGCTTTTGGGCGACAGCGCCTCTTAGTACAGATACTTGGCATTTGCCCCACATTTTCATTGTAAAACCAGTCTCAGCAGATTCCTCAACCAAAGGTACTGTGAGTGCTTCTGCGCCTAAGGCCCCAGAGGCACCAAATACCGCCAGAAGCTCTTCAGGACACTGGTTTTCCTCCACGTAAAAGCCTGTGGTGTAATTTACAGACATTAAAACGTCCAGGTCCTCCTCAGTCTTAGCTCAATGCGCCTCAACAGTTATGTATACCCATGTAACCACCACCCAAAACAGGATACAGGACATCAAGACAGGATACAGGACATTTCCTTCACCCCACAGGGATCTTTCCTGCCCTTTTCCAGTCAATCCTCCGCCCCCCGCTGCCTCTACAACAGAAGCAACTACCTTCTTAGTTTTAGTCCCATGGTTGCTCTTTTAATTTTTTCTTCGAAAATCTTTATGGTCCTGGATATATATTTAAATATAGAATTCATCTGAAATCAAGGTTTGTGCATGAAGTACAGAAACATTTACTCTCTGGTCCATCCAGTTTCTATTTCATCAGTTTCTTTTAATGATTTGCTTCCTTTTATTTACTTTAGGCTCAATCTACTCTTCTTTCTCAAGGTTCCTGTGCTCAAAGCTTATCTAATTGAGTTTATCCCTTTTTGTCTTTCAGTCTAGCAGTCGGCATTTAAATCTGTAAATCTCTCTAAGCACTGTGTTAGGTCACCACCCACCTTTGCCTGCTAATCATGCTATAAGTGATCATACACATCCCCATGCCTTCAGGACTGGGGTACTCGTCCCCCAGCTGTTGGGGGTGTTGGAAGTGGGTCCAAGTCAGCTAGTGTCTCTCTAGGAACTCCTTTCAGCCAAAGAGCCAACAGAACAATAGCTCAGAATCTCTGAGCGGAACCAATAAATATAAACTCTATGCAAAGTGAGAAGTAACAGAAGTGAAAGAAAAGCACATGGGGGCCACAGTATCACTTTTTAAACAAGTTCCAAGCTTTACTGAGACGTCATGTACATGCCCGTGTTTCAATGGAGTTATTTATCTTCTTACTTGTACAAGTACTTCATATTCTGGATTCAAGTTCTTTAATAGATATACTCGTATGTTTTGAAAACAGTTTTGCCCAGTCTGTGGCTTATCTTTTCATTTTCTTAATACCATCTTTAGAAGCACAAATATTTCTGTTTCTGATGAAGTCCCACGTAAAACTATTTTTTCTTTTACCGCTCATGCTTCTGTCTCACCCAGCTCATGAAGATTTGCTTTCTTCTGAGAGTGTATAGTTTTAGCCCTTACATTTAGGTCTACGGTCCATTTCGAGGGAAATTTTGCATGAGGTGTGAGTTAATGGTCTAAAATCAGGTTGTTCATTTTCTTACTGTTGAGTGTTGTGTCCTTTGTAAATTTTGGATAACGGTTACGCTCAGGTATGTATTTTGTAAGTATTTTCGTCCTGTCTGTGATGTCTGTTCGCTTTCTCTGGACAGTATCTTTCTCAGGGCAGAGGTTTTTAATTTTAATGAAGTCCACCTTGTCAGTTATTTCTTTCATGGATAGTGCCTTTGGTGTTGAACTTTGAAAATCATCGTCATAGTCAAGGTCATCTAGGTTTTCTCCTATGTTAAATCTAGGAGATATTTTTTTAGTTTTGCACTTTACTTTTAGGTCTACGATCTAATCTGAGTTAGTTTTTGTGAAGGATGAAAGGTCAGTGTCTAGATTCTTCTTCCTTCTTTTTCTTTTCTCTTCCTCCCCTCCCGCTCCTCCTCTTTTCGTCTTCTCCTCTGCACTTGGACGCCCAATTGTTTCAGCACCTTTTGTTGAAAAGACTATCTTATTTTCTATTGTATTGCCTTTCTTCCTTTGTCAAAGATCAGCTGCCTATATTTATGGGGTCAATGTCTAGGATCTCTATTCTGTTCCATGGATCTATTTATCTATTCTTTCACCAATACCACACTGTCTTGATTATTGTAGCTTTATAGTAAGTCTTGAAAGTTGGGTAGTGTCAGTCCTCTGCCTTTGTTCTTCTCCTGTAATTCTGTGCTGGCTAGTCTGGGTCTTTTGACTCTCCATATAAACTTTAGAATCAATCTGTCACTATCCACAAAGTAACTTGCTGGGATTTTGAGTGGGATTGTGTAGAATCTATAGATCAAGTTGGGAAGACATATTGAATCTTCCTATCCATAGCATGGAATATCTCTCCATGTATTTAGTTCCTCTTCCATTTAATTAGAGTTTTGTAGTTTTCCTCATATAGATCTTGTACACATTTTGTTAGATTTATGCCTAAGTATTTCTTTCCTTGGGTGCTAATGTAATTGGTGTTTTTAATTCCAAATTCCACTTGCTCATTAATGGTATATAGGAAAGCAATTGACTTTTATACATTAACCTTATATCCAGCAATTTGTATTTCTTAATCCCCTTCATCTTTTTCACCCATCTTCCCACCTCTCCCCCACCTGGCAACCATCAGTTTGCTTCTTGTATCTATGAGTTTGTTTCTGTTATACAATGGAATATTACTCGGCCATAATAAAGAACGAAATCTTGCCATTTGTGACAACATGGATGGACCTAGAGGGCGTTATGCTAAGTGAAATAAGTCAGACAGAAAAAGACAAATACCATGTGATCTCACTTATATGTTGAATCTAAAGACAAAACCAACAAAACAAATTCTCTCCATATTTGTCTTAGAAAGTCTTTATTTCTTCTTCACTTTTAAAAGACAATTTTACAAAAGCATTTGAGCTCTTGCTTCCTGGCAACTGTCATCAGTTTTGACTCAGATAAACTCTTAAAAAATTCTCTACAGGTTTGGACATCCTTAGATTGACAAGCTGAAGATGGTATTTAGTCTGAAAATCTAAGCCACCTCTGAGACTTACTCATTTTACCCTGGGTTATCTCCCACATATACATGAGACATACATGTTAATAATAAACTTTGGTTTGTTTTACTCTTGTTAAAAAAAAAAGGCAATTTCACAGGATACAGAATTCTACGTTGGTATTTCTTTTCTCTCAACACTTTAAATATTTCACTCCACTCTCTTCTTGCTTACATGGTTTCTGAGGAGAAGTGGGATGTAATTCTTACTTTTGCTCCTCTACAGGTGATGTGTTTTTTCCCCTCTCTGCCCTTAGTGTATGAATCATAGTTGTTTTAAATTCCCGGTCTGAAAATTCTAAAAAATCCTTGCCACATTTAAGTCTGGTTCTGATGCTTGTTCTGTCTTTTCAAATTGTTTTTGTTTTTTTTTTCCTTTCAGTATGTCTTGTAGTTTTTGTTTAAAGCCAGATTGTCGTGATGTGGGGGTAAGGTGTGGGGGAGGGGAAGTGTCCTCAGGTTTCACTCAGCCTTCAGTGAGCCTGTGCTGCTGTGCTGCTGCGAGCTTATCAGTGCTTTGCCGTCACCCCACTCCCCCCTTAGGTGGGACAGGGTGGCCAAGGGGTGTGGAATTGGGAATTTCCCACCTCCCAGGTAAGTTAGGCTCTGACAAAACCCTAGTAGGTTAGGATCTGCGAAAATGGTTTCTGTCGAGGGCAGGCCTTGTTAAGAGTATAATGCTCTGGTGTATTTCAAAATGGTTACTTTCCCCTCCCCCTGCTGGAAGCTCTAGTGGATTTTTCTCTGATATTCACTGTGAGAATATGGTAGAGTTCCTGGAGGTAAAACAAAAATATGGGGGGGGGGCTCCTATGACTGGGCCCCCCAGCAGTTTTTAACTCTCAGTTTGGTTCACACTGAGTCTCCTGCAAGTCGTCAATCACAGTTGAGGTTTTCCTCCCCTGGCACTGGTTTTCATGGAGGTTTCTGCTAAGGTGTGATTCTTCGTATCTGCCTGTCTCTCTAATTCAGGGGGCAGTGGTTTGTCCCGTGACCTCACTTTTCTGAGGGATCGAGAGTTGTTAATTTTTCCAGTTTGTTCAGCTTTTTACTAGTTGTTAGGATGGAGTGGAGACCTCTAAGCTCCTTACGTCCTGGATGGGGAAACAAAAGTCCCCCATATCATTTCATTTTCAATTAAATGACAATCCAGAAAGATTGGTATTATTATTTAGTAGAGGAAGACAAAGATATTTTTCATCTTGCCAAACATCTTGAGGACAGTGTTGCCAGAGTCTGAGTCCTGGCCCTGGAGTGACTTCAAAGCTGGTTCCCTTCATCAGGAAACAATGCTTATCTTCGAGGTTCCCCATATTCTGAGCCGTTGTTGAAAACTTTCCAGTGGAGAACATTTCTGTGCCTTCTTTCCCCATGGATTCAAATGTAGGACATTTTTAGGGGCCAAGAAGTCCCTTCTGAGGTTTCACATGTGTGTCTCCAGGTGACAGAACATCCCTCTGTCCACGCTCCTGAGGCAATGAGAACAGCCTTTCGGCACTATCTTTATAATAAATATCTTTGCTCTTTTTCCTTGGAATCTTGGATCTCACCATCTGAGTCCAGGAGGAAAAGCAATTGAAAAAATAAAACACACGTGTGTCCAGGATCAAAAGAGTACAGTTACCACGAAGGTATATAGATACAGGGAGAATATATTACACTCTCTTGTAAAGTAAGCTGACTCCACACCGAATTGCCTTAACGCCAAATGCTATTATAATGATCACGCTTACCCCAAATTCATCTGGAATGACTCAAATCAAGCCCTCAGCTGGTAGTTTCAGGGCTGAAGATGACTTGGCCTTCGTGCCTACTTAGAAAGTCCCTATAAGTACAGGTATTACAGAGGGACTTGGGGACTTTTACATCATGTTCATCAGCCAGGAAGATCATCAGAGCATGAAAAAAAGAAATCTGATTTATGAGATTGCGGTGGGGTGGTTAGCAAGGGGGATGTTATCCTAGCAATGATTTCTCTGTTTTCAAACCTTATTTTCAAGGCTGCTTATCTATTCTTTTTGCACCAAAAAGGACAATTCAGTACTGAGGTATTCTTATATTTGACGTGAAGAGAATAGACCACAGTTCTGGACAAAGTGAGAGAAGCTTTGACAAGTGGTGTCTGAGGCATAGTTCTGTGATCTAGAAGTGAAATTCCAGAGTGAAGTTCTAGAAAGTGCACCAAGCCCCACTGTCCATGATGCTGAGTCCTAGTGGATACAGATTATGAGGGCTGGGAAGTAGCCCAGAGAAGAGCAAAATCTATTTAGGTGCAGTCACCTGCTATATGAAGTGGCTGGGTTGTACAGGTCCCTCGTGAGTCCGCCCATAGCCTGCCCACTGTCAGAGTCCGTGATCTTGGGGACCCCTGGATTACAATATTGCTCAGACTTCACTCTCTTCAATTGGTTTAGCTCTTCAGTACTTTATCAAGAAAGCCTACAACTATCCAATGTGACTGAAATAAAGATCTGTCCTTTCTCATTTATTGGTGGACTGGTAGAGTTTATTTTTAATTGGTTTCCAGAGTCCCTCAACCTCTTGTCTCAAAACTCTCTTTTTGCTGGAGATCAGGGCACTACATAGAACAGACATTATTAATGGGCCTGTAGCATCCTAGGTCATGAACACAAATACATTTTAGGCTTTCATTTGCTGCTCTGCTCTTTCATGTCTCTGGCCTTGGCTTTGTGAACTGAAATAAAAAAAGCTTCCCAAGATCCCTTGCAGCAGTTCATGAGTGAGGCAACATGGGGGATCACCCCCTGCCTCATATGCCTTTTTTTTTTT